TTGCTGACGATCCCAAAAATGATGTGGAACAAAGAGTGCGAGGTCGTCCACTGCGGGTTGGAAATGTAGCCAGGGAGTGTACCAATTTACTTGGGCCCACCGCAAGTGTGAAGCCAGTCGCTGCGAGTGCACACACCGCATGAGTGTAGAGCGCTGTGAGCCGCAGAGACGCCAGGGAGAGATGCTGCGCGTCTGATTCATCGACTACGTGAGTCCAGTCATTGTGAATATATTCTGCGGGAGTTCCAGCATTACATTATCCAGCAATGCGGGTCTGGCACGTGTGAGGTGTATGCGCAGTCAGGGAGTATATCCACAACCACAGGAAGGCCAACCGCGGAGAGCACATTCTGGCAGAGCTCCGGCAAGGTGGCATCTTCTGCCATTGTGAGTACATCCAGGGAGAGTGCCGGTGCGAATGGGTCCACGAGCACCGTGAGCTCAACCATGGCGAGTGCACGGTGCGAGAGTCCCAGCGTTATGAGGCATTCACGAAGGAGCGATCAGCCACTGCCACTGGGGTTGTGATCGCGGCCGCCGTGATTCGATCCGCAGTACCACGGCCTCAGTCTCCATTCCCTTTCTGGGCCACCGGCTCGGGTCCTGGAGCGCCCTCAAAGAGTTCTTCTGTTCTGCTCTGCTCTGTTCTTCGTCGTCCACTCTTTTCTCTCCTCCGACTATCCTCTCCCTTCGGCTCCCTCTTCCTCCTCCCTGTTCCCTCGGACGCTTCGGCAAGGCACTCAACTGTTCCAAAGAAGGCGGAGGAGGAGGAGGAGGAGGAGGAGGAGGTGCACAAGGGAAGAGAAGGCCGCCGCCGACGTCGCCGCCGCCGCCGCCGTCGTCGCCGCCGACGTTGCCGTCGCCGTTGCCGTCGGCGCCGCCGTCGTTCTCTTTTTCATCCTCGGCGTCGTCGTCGTCGTCGTCGTCGTCCTCCTCGTCGTGCGCTCCTCGGCGGTGCGCCCGGGGGAGGTCGTCCGGCAGCGGCGCTCGAGGCGTGCCCGGCAGAAGGGCGAGCCGCCCGACTGGAGGGGCCAGCGGCCCAGCCTGGAGGCGGTGTCCTTCAAGGACTGCGGCGGCGTCGGCGGCGAGGGCGCCGACAGCAGCTGCGGCGATGGCGACGACGACGCCGCCGCCGACGAGGAGGACGACGAGGACGACGACGGCGACGACGGGGACGACGACGGCAACGACGCAGACGACGACAGCGACGACGACGACGACGACGACGACGACGACGACGACGACGACGACGACGACGACGACGACGGCCACGACGACGACGACGACGACGACGACGACGACGACGACGGCCACGACGACGACCACGACTACTGCAGCATCGTCGGCTTCTGCTTTCAGGGGCCCGAGCCTTTCCCGACTTCTCCTTCCCCCCCCCTCCCTCCCTCCCCCATTCACAGGAGGAGGCGCAGGAGGAGGCGGAGGAGGCGGAGGAGGAGGAGGAGGAGGAGGAGGAGGAGGAGGAGGAGGAGGAGGAGGAGGAGGAGGAGGAGGAGGAGGAGGAGGAGGAGGAGGAGGAGGCGGAGGAGGAGGAGGAGGAGGAGGAGGAGGAGGAGGAGGAGGAGGAGGAGGCAGGAGGAGGAGGAGGGAGGAGGAGGAGGAGGAGGAGGAGGAGGAGAGGAGGAGGAGGAGGAGGGGAGGAGGAGGAGGAGGAGGAGGAGGAGGAGAGGGAGGAGAGGGAGGAAAGGTAGGAGAGGGAGGAGAGGAGGAGGAGAGGGGAGGAGAGGAAGGAGAGGGAGGAGAGGGAGGAGAGGGAGGAGGGAGGAGGAGAGGAGGAGGAGGAGGAGGAGGAGGAGGAGGAGGAGGAGGAGGAGGAGGAGGAGGAGGAGGAGGAGGAGGAGGAGGAGGAGGAGGAGGAGGAGGAGGGGAGGGAGGGAGGGAGGGAAGGGAGGGAGGGAGGGAGGGAGGGAGGGAGGGAGGGAGGGAGGGGGGAGGGAGGGAGGGAGGGAGGGAGGGGAGGGGGCAGGCAGGCAGGGCAGGCAAGCAGGCAGGCAGGCAGGCAGGGCAGGGCAGGCAGGCAGGCAGGCAGGCAGGCAGGAGGCAGGCAGGCAGGCAGGCAGGCAGGCAGGCAGGCAGGGCAGGCAGGAGGGGAGAGCAGGGGGGAGGCAAGGGGGGAGGCATGGGGGGAGGCAAGAGGCAGGCAGGCAGGCAGGCAGGCAGGCAGGGAGGCAAGGAGGGCAGGCAGGAGGGAGGCAGGGGGAGGCAGGGGGGAGGCAGGGGGGAGGCAGGGGGGGAGGCCAGGGGGGAGGCAGGGAGGAGGAGGAGGGAGGAGGAGAGGAGGAGGAGGAGGAGGAGAGGAGGAGGAGGAGGAGGAGGAGGAGAGGAGGAGGAGGAGGAGGAGGAGGAGGGCGCGCCTGCGGGTGGCTGGCAAGCCAGGCCCAGGAAGCAGGCGCGCGGCAGGCACCACAGACGGCGAGCGCACGGTGCGGGGCAGCGTCGGCGCGCGCGGCGCCCCAGCCGGAGAGCCCCCTGCGCCGAGCGGTGCACTTTGGGGGTTTGGGGGGGGGCAGGAGGGGGACGAGGAGACCGAGGGCCTCTCGAGGGCCTCCTCGGCGGCCTGCTGCGGGTCTCCGAGCCGTGTTGGGGGGGGGAGAGGGAGCGGTTTCCCGACCAGGTGGGGTCCGCCCGCGTGGGGACTCTTGGGGCACTCTTGGGCCCCCTTGGCCTCCCCCCTTGGGACTTCCGAGGCTGTCGTGGTGTCTTGTTGTGCCGTCTCGGACACCTCTCGCGATCCCCGTTCTGGGGGGCCCTCCTGGAGTCTCTTGGAGCTCTTCTTGGTGCTCCTGGGGCGGTCGTGGGGTAGTCGTATGCTGTCCTTGGGGGCACTCTTTTTCACGTGCGCGCACACGGCACCCGCTTTAGTAATTCATGTGCGCGCCCCTCGTCGTTCGCATCGCTCTTTCTTTCCCTCGCCCCTCTCCTTTTCATCCGAGTCACAGCCTGTTTCGGCGGCGAGCGAGGGGGGGAGTGAGAAGGAGAAGGCCTTCTCAGAAGGCGGCGGGACTTCTCAGAAGCCCTCGCGCGTTCTGAGAAGTTTTCTGTGTCTTCTGGGAAAGCGTGGGAACCTTTTCAGAAGGTCGGGCGACTTCCGAGCCTTTTGAGAATGCCCGCCCTTCTCACTTCTCCCCCAGGCTCGCCGCCGACTGGCAGCAGTTCTTGGCCAGCCCCATCGGCCACGGCGCCGTGAGCTGGCGCCAACTCCCAGTAGCCCCGACCATCTCGCGCCCAGGCTGGGCGTCTTCGACGGCTCTTGCTGCCAGTGCACCGCGGGGGAGCATGCGGGTTCGGAAGGGGCTCGCTGTTCCTTGGGTTCCTGCCTGGTGGTTCCTCTGGCGCTCGCCTTCCGGGGCCAAAGAGGGGCTGTGATTCGTCTCTAGCCTGGGTTCAGGTGGCTTGCGCCATTCGGCCGTCCCCCCACAGGAGAAGCGAAGTCCACTGGTGAGGCGTACTGCCGCTTGGGACTCGTTTGGAGGACCCATTGGGGCATCTTTTGGGCCTCTTTGGGCGCCCCGTGGAGCCTCTTCCATCGGGGTCCGTCGGACGCCTGCTGGCGTGCCTCGGGTGCCCTCTTGGGGCGGAGGGCCCGATTTGGAGGTTCGGGCTCCCCCTCCTGGGCCCCTCTCGAGGCTCTCTTGGGGGAGGGGCTTCGTCCCTTCTCTGGCGCTGGCGCTGGTCGTAGCTTCCTTATGCTCCTGCCTGGCCGCGCCCGTCCGCAGGACCCCCGAGCGGTGGGCGAGGACGATTGCAGCATCGTCGGCTTCTACTTCCAGGGGCACGAGGAGGCCTTTCCCCGACTTCTTCCTCCCCCCCGCCCCCCTTCACGGGAGGAGGAGAAGGAGGAGGAGGAGGAGGAGGAGGAGGAGGAGGAGTGAGGAGAAGGAGGAGGAGGAGGAGGAGAGGAGGAGGAGGAGGAGGAGGAGGAGGAGGAGGAGGAGGAGGAGGAGGAGGGGGAGGAGGAGGAGGAGGAGGAGGAGGAGGATGGAGGATGTAAACACCCAGATGGGGACTTCGCAAGCAGAACTCTGGCTGTGGCTTCTCCGCCTCCGACTCTTCTGAGAGCTGGTTGTGGCTTCTCCGACTGGTTGTGGCTGGTTGTGTCTTCTTGGACTCTCTGGTTGTGGCTCCATCGCCATTGCCACTTGGGCATCCCAAGGGGGGAGCCGCCGGGGCTTGCGACCTTTACCCGTTCGCGTCCGCATTGTAGGGGAGTCTCCAGTGAAACGCCTCTTCGCAGCTGCGGGCTGTCTGATACCCGCGATGTAGCGGGCCTTGCAGTTTGGCCACCCACGGGGGGGCCGCCAGTGGGTGTATACCAGGCCCGTTCGCGCTCCGATTGTGGAGATGTCTCGAGCAGGGCGCTCGCTTGGAGAGGTCGACGTGCTTCTCTTCGGGGCCGCACGGCCATCGCGATGCAGCAGGCCTGGCACTTTGAGGCCCGAAGGGCCACTCGCCATGGTGTGCGTCACGGGCCTGCTCGCGCTCGAAGTGCGGGGCGTCTTGGCCCACCCACTCTCTCAGACCCTCTCGTATTCAGACAAAGCCATATACAGGTGACCCGCCAGGAAACAGATGCATACGTGGGGATCTCCGCGCCTAATGATCTTGTGAGGCGCGGGATGTCTGGCAATGTAACACGGGGGCATGCTGCCGGGTCTGGCGATCAGCAGATCTGAAGGGTCGGCGAGCACGGTGGTTCAAGATTGTTCAAGGGACTTATACCATTCCGCCGACCCCCAGACGCAGTGAGGAGCCAATTGAAGTTGCTAGGGCGAGGTGCGGGTAAAGGTGTCGTACGTGACGACATAGGTTTTTCAGCCACCAATCATCTCATACACCTTTGCACTCCTGGTAAGTGGAAGTCGTTGGATTCAGGCAACGACATGTTCTAGACCACAAGACAGACGCGCGCCAGCGCTTCTTCATCGGCCTCTGCTGCCATCACACATGTACCATGAAATGGGTATTTCTCGGTAGCAATATCGAAGACGCCTACGGCGAACCACCGCCGCACCCTGCTTCTTTGTAGACGCCTATGTGACCGAACTTTAGCTCCAGAGCTTTGACAAGCTATCGGACCACGTGTTCCCCGAGCCGTTGTGGAAACCCTTCGGGGAACGTGGGTGAGAAAGAGAAGAGGAAGAGGGAGAGAAAAGAATAATGAGAATAATGAGGAGGAGGAGTCCTCTTGGAAGCCTCTTGGGCCATTGTAACCTGCTTCCTGGAGGCTTCTGGGAGGCCTCTTGGGGGCCTCCTTGGGTCTCTTGTGAGTTTCTTGGGGTCCTCTTTGGCTCTCTTTCGCCGTCTTAGGGCGTTCCTAGTCCATCGGACGCCGTCGGAAACCGTCTCGGGGGCCTCTGACCCGACTGGGGGCCCTCTTGGGGCGCTTTAGGGCCGTCTTAAAGGCCACTTTGACCGTCGTGGAGGCTTCTTGGGCCGTCTTGGTACCCCCTGGAGGCCGTCTTGGGAGGCTCTTGGGCCGTCATGGGATTTCTTCGAGGTCTTTGGGGCGCTCTTGGATCGATTTTGGGGTCCTCTTGGGCCGTCTTTAATAACTGGAAGGCTCACAATAAGCAAATGCCAACATCTCTTACAAACCAAATGACGTACATGATTTTGGCTTCTTGGGGCTTTCTGGAGGACATCTTGAAGGCCTCCTGGGACATCTTGGAAGCCTCTTGGGGGCCTCTTGGGTCGTCTGGAGACCATCTTAGACGGTCTTGAGTGCATCTTGGGCCGTCTTGGAGACATCTGCCCGCAATCTTGCGCTGTCTTGGGATCATCTTGGCAGATTCAGAGGCCATCTCAGCCGTCTTGGAGGCCATGTTGGTGCCATTTTGGGAGGGGAAACCGATGGACTGTACAGTTCCCTGGGCTTTCTGGGTGGGAGTTTTTAGACAAGAACCAACGACATGCAGGACTCACGCTTCAGCAACCCGACTGCTCGACCTGGCCGCCTGGGCCCGCCTTCCTGACCCGCCCGTTTGGGTCTACCCGCCCGATCTGCCCGTTTGGGTTGGCCACATGTTTGCTGCTCCCAGCCCCCCTCCTGCTAATCTCTCTCGTGCTCCTTTCTTCTCCCTCCTATTTCGATCCGTCCTCTCTTACCCTGTTCTAGGGGCTGCGCTACATGCACGCGGCAGGTAAGGAAGATATACCCCCAAGGGGGTGCGATCGCAGACGAAGAGGGCGGGCACCGAGAGTTTGGGATATACGTATTGACTGGCACGCGAGCAGATAGGAGCGAACCGTCTTAAAATGACTGTTGTTTTCTCATTTCTCAAGAATCATAACTGTTGACCCCCCTCTCTGGTGACCGCTGTATGTTTTCAATTGTGGTGCCCCTCGCGGGGCTCGCACCCTGCTTGTTGTATCAGGAAGGTCTTGTGTCACCAAGCTGGGTTGTTAGCTGTTAGCCCCTGGTTCTCAACAACAACGGCTCCCGCCGGAGACTTCCTGGCAGTGTATGGAGAAGTCGCGCTCGCGCGCGGGACTTCTTGGCAATGTGCGCAGGGATCGCGCTCTCGCGTGGGGTTTCTTTGCAATTTGTTCAGACGCCGCGCCCTCGACACTCAGGAATCACGCTCTCGCTTCTGCCATTTTCACGCTTTCCTTGGGAATCGCGCTATCGCTCGAGACTTTCTCGCGATTCATGCAGGACGGACGCACGCTTGAGCAACCCGCCTGCTCGACCTGGCCGCGTCTGGTTCTGCCCGCCCGTCTGGTCTCTCCTGCTAATCTCTCTCGTGCTCCTTCATTCTCCCATCCGTCCTCTCTTCTCTGTTCTGGGGGCTGCGCTAAATGCACGCGGCAGGTAAGCTTCCCCCCAAGGGGGTGCGATCGCAGACGGAGAGGGCGGGAACCGAGGGTTTAGGATATACGTGTATGGCACGCGAGCAGATAGGAGCGAATAGTCTCAATTTGATGTTTGTTGTTGTGGTTGTTTTTGAGCAGACAATAGCGAACAGTCTCAATATGATATTTGCTGTTTCTGTTGTTGCTGTGGTGGTGGTGGTTATTGTTGCTGTTGCTGCTCTTATTGTGTTTCTTCTTCTACCTCTTTAGAATGCTAGTATTGTGATTCGCATTGTCATTATGAGTATTCGTATGAGGATGATGATCAGCATCATTATTATTAGTATTATTACGATTAATAGCGTGTGTTGGTTTATCCTTCTGTTTACTTATGTATGCATTCATTCACTTGTGTATTCATTTGTTAGTCTGACTATTCGTAGTAGTAGTAATCGTAGTAGTAGTAGTAGTAGTAGTAGTAGTAGTAGTAGTAGTAGTAGTAGTAGTAGTAGTAGTAGTAGTTATTGTTGTTGTTGTTGTTGTTGTTGCTGTTGCTGTTGTTGTTGTTGTTGTTGGTGGTGGTGGTGTTGTTGTTGGTGTTGTTGTTGTTGTTCCTGCTGTTGTTGTTCCTGTTGTTCCTGTTGTTGTTGTTGTTGTTGTTGTTGTTGGTGTTGTTGTTGTTGTTGTTGTTGTTGTTGTTGTTGTTGTTGTTGTTGTTGTTGTTGTTGTTGTTGTTGTTGTATGTTTAGCAGTGTTCGTGCCAGCATTATTATTCGTAGTATGCATATGCTTCTTCATAGTGTTGGTGTTTGTGGTTTTGTTGCTATGTTTGTTTGTTATTGCTCGCATGCGTATTAAGCTTAGTTTTCTTATTCTTCGCGAAACACGCCTGGGAGACGCCCGGCGGCACGCGGCCACTCTTGCCGCCGTGCCCGCCCGAGCCGCCCACCCAGCGCGCGTCTTCAGACCACTCCGGCTCAGGGGGTCGGCCTGCCCGGCGCACGGGGGGTGCCACCTCCCTGCGATCGGCACGGTCGAGCCGGGGGGGGGGCCGGAGAGCCCGCGGGACCAGCCCAGCCTGAGCAGGGGGTCTGCCGCCCGTGCCGCCACGGACGCCGCCCACTTGCGGCAGGCGCCGCCTGCCCGACAGCGCACAGCGCTGGTCCTGCACAGCAGCCGCTGCTGGGCACCGTGCCCACTCGGGCGCTCCAGTCGGAGGAGGGAAAGGTGCCCCTGCCGCTACCCTTCCCTCGGTTTCCCCTTTTCGGGCCTCCTGGGAGGCCCTCGTCGCCACCGCCCGATTCGCCCCGAAATTCTGGTCCGAGTGCGCCCCAGGGGAGGTCCGGGGAGTAGCAGTATCGGTACCCTTTGGCCTCTCCGTCCAGAGTGCGAGCGGGCCCCGCGCATCCGGCCGGCCGGGATGAAGTTCGGGGAGTTCCTGGAGAGCTGCCGGGTCGGCTCCCTGGCCGGCGGCTACTTGCACTACGAGGAGCTGGCGCGGATGGCCGAGGCTGGGGAGGACGGCGACCATCGAAGAGGAAACCGCGGCATGCAGCATCATCTTTCGGAGGCCCTCGCAGATTCCTTGGCGGGACGGTCGGACTGTCCGTGTGTCTGTGTGTCTCGGATTCCTTGGATCGGCTCTGGGCTTCCCCCCCCCCTGGGGGCGGCGCCTCCTGCGCCGACCCGAGAACTCCGCGCGGAGCTCCGAGAAAGCTCATGCTCCTGCGGCCGTTCCTTCTTCCAGACCAGGGGCGCGCGGAGTTCTCCGACGCGCTGGTGGAGGAGCTCGCGCGGGTGAGCGCCTTCGCGGCCGAGCAGCTCGGGAAGATCCAGGACGACCTGGCGGAGACCGACGCGCTGGTGCGGCTCTGCCGCCGGGACGAGGCTCCGGGGGGGGGAGCGCCCGGTGCCGCGGGTCCCGTGCTTCGTCGCCCTTCCCCCCCCCTCCTCCTCCTCCTCCTCCTCCTCCTCCTCCTCCTCCTCCTCCTCCTCCTCCTCCTCCTCCTCCTCCTCCTCCTCCTCCTCCTCCTCCTCCTCCCTACCCCCCTCGGCGCGCCGCCAAGGGGGGGCGCCGTCCTGGTGGGGGCGCGCTCGGGCCCTTCCCGGCCTGGGGGCTCCCAGAGGCCGTGCGCTCGCCGCGGGCGAGCGACTACGGCTCGCCTGGCGAGGGGCATGCGGTGCTCGCCCGCGAGAGCAAGATGCAGATGATGAGCGTATCGAAGACGCTTGCGGCGAATCACCGCCGCCCCCTGCAGGGCTCTCGCTTCGGTTCCTCCGGTTCGATTCGGCTCCATTTCGATGGATTCCGATTCTGATTCGATGCGACTTCGGATTCCGATGTGGGCTCCGCTTTCTCAGTGGAGGCCTAGTGTCGCAGGCCTAGAGGTTGACACCAACATTGATATCGGCGGTGTGCCTCCACTGAGGGAAGACGATCTCGATCTCGGTGATGGTGGTAATATTCCAGCTTCCAAGGTGGCCGAATTGCTACCACCGACACCGAAGTCTAGGATCATCTTCCCCTTGTGGAGGCAACCCCCTGTGTCGGTGTTGGTGCCCATGTACAGGCCTCCAAGCCCAGACATGCGACGTCCTGATTTTTTCAGGACGGCGTCCCCGGAAGTCCCGACCCTTTCCCCAGGGCCGGTTTTTCATCCTGAGTCGTTTTTTTGACGGTCCCGAGGCCCGGCGAGGGCCCCCAGGGGCCGAAAATAGCGAAAAACCTCCCGTCCTGATTGCTCTACGACGCCATCATGTCTGGGAGACTGGCCTGCCGATCTCCGCCGCCTCGACTCTTCCCGACTCGGCTGCCGATTTCCGCCGATGCGATTCACTCCGATGGCAGGCCCGGCTGATCGCTCCGACTCGGGGCTCTCCTGCCGCCGCCCCCCCGCCTCTGGGAGTCGCCCGCGTGGGCGCCGAGCCTCGCGGCGGGAGCTGTGCCAAGCTGTCGGGCCAGGTGCTCCCCCCCGCCGTGGCAGACACCTTCGGGAAACACCCCCTGGGCTGCCCAGGTGGGGTCGGAGCGGACGGGGTCGGAGGGTCGCGCCACGTCGCCGATGCATCGGCGATGCCTCGGCGATGCATCGGCGATGCGGCTCGATGTGGGGCCCGATTTTCTCCACGCCGACGTCGCCGATGCATCGCCGACGCCGCCAGCGCATCGCCGATGCATCGCCGATGCGATGCGGCGAGATCCCCCGGCCCCGTCTGCTCGGACCCCTATCTAGGAGGCCACTAAGCATTTGGGGGAGCATGGCGGGGAAGATCAGGAGGAGGATAAGGAGGGGGCATCGTGGGAGCCTCCTGGGGGCACTCTTGGGGCCTCCTGGGAGCCTCCTGGGAGCCTCTTGGAGGCATCTTGGGGGCCTCCTTGGGCCTCTTGGGGGCTTTGGCTGTCTTGGGCATTCCTGGCCCGTTTGACGCCGTCGGAAGCCGTCTTGGGGACCTCTCTTCTCTGGGCCGACTTGGGGCCCTCTTGGGGTGCTCCAGGGCCGTCTTGGAGGCCATCTGGGCGTCTTGGAGGCCTCTAGGACTGTTGGGGCCCTCTTGGGGCGGTCTTGGGGGCCTCTTGGTTCTGGGGCCATCCTGGAGGCCTCTTGGGCGATCTCGGGGCGTTCTTTTGTTGCTCTTGGGCCGTCTCGGGCCGTCGGAAGGCCAAAAATAATCAAATGCCAACATCCTTCAAGCACCTAAGTAACATCCATGATTTTGGCCTCCTCGGCCTTCCCGGAGGTCTTCTCGGAGGCCTATGGGGCCGTCTTGGAGACATCTTGGAGGCCTCTTGGGCCGTCGTGGGCCATCTTGGAGTCATCTTTGGCCGTCTTGGTGGGCTTCTGGCCCGTCTGACGCCGTCGGAAGCTGTCTTGGGGACCTCTCTGGGCCGACTTGGGGCCCTTTTGGTGTGCTCCAGGGCCGTCTTGGAGGCCATCTTGAGCGTCTTGGAGGCCTCTTGGGCTGTCTTGGGACTCGGGCCTTTTGGGCCGTTCTGGGGCCATCCTCGAGACCTTTTGGGCGATTTGGGGGCGATCTTTGGGGGCTCTTGGGCCGTCTCTGGCCGTCGGAAGGCCGAAAAGAGGCGAATGCAAGAATCCTTCAAAAACAAAAGGAAAATCCCTCTTCGGGCCTTCCTGGAGGCCCTCGTGGAGGCTTGGGCCGTCTTGGAGGCCTCACTTGGGGGCCTCTTGGGCCGTCTTGGGCCATCTTGAGGTCATCTTGGGCTAGGGCCATCATGGTGGCCTCTTGGGCGGACTTGGCGGCATCTCGGACCCTCTTGGGCCGTCTTGGAGGCCATCTTGAACCATCTTGGGTGAACGTGGAGGCCATCTTGGCCATCTTGGACGCCAGGGAGGGGCATCTTGGAGCCATCTGGACCGGGGTTTGTTCTGCAACCAGGTCTTCTGGGTGGCCGGCGGGACGGGCCGAAGCCCCAGGGGAGTTCCTTCGGAAAAGAACCCAAACCAAAAGCGGTAGGGTTCAGCACGCCAGGCACCCCTGTGGCAAGACCACAGGGGGCGGCGGATCGAATGGCCTTCGGCACATCCCGCCACCATGCAGCCTATTGGATTTTTGTTGGGATCTCGTGGGAGGCCTCTCGGGGGCCTCTTGGAGGCAGTTTCGAGGCCTGAGGACTGAGGCTCAGAGGATGAGGCAAAGGACTTGAGGGCACACCCACTCCGTGCCCAGCGGCACGGTGGCGGATACAAGCAGCAGCTGCACAATACCTACCAACGCGTCTTCGAGTTCAAGCAGATGTGCGAGCTCAATCTGCAGGGCTTTCAGAAGCTGATCAAGAAGCGGAAGAAGGCGCTCAAGCGGGAGAAGCGGAGCGGCAGGTCGAGAGGGTCCACCGCCTCGTCGCTCGTGGACCCGCTGCTGCCGGAGGCGAGGTACCTGTCGCCGCTGCTGGCGAGGGACATCCCGCCGGTCCCGGAGGACAGCACGGGCGGGCCCACCGGCGCGCAGCCCAACCTCGGGCACGCCAGTGAGGCCTATCGCCTTCAGGTCTCGAGCGACGAGGAGGGCCAGGCGGCCTGGGGCGTGCCCCAGGGCGCCGGCCTCGTGGACATCAGCTACGTGCGGCAGCAGCCGTTCTGGGCCGTGCACTGCAGCGAGGCGCAGGGCCTGGCGCGGAGGATCGAGGAGGCGTTCGCCACGCACGTGACCGGCGGGGAGGTGGGCAGGGCTCAGATGAAGCTGCGCGTGTTTCAGCGGGAGGCCATGTCTCAGGCAGCGCTGATGGAGGTCGGCGTCTGCTCTGGCGTCGCCGCCACGCTGACGTTCACGATCGGTATCCTGTTGGGCTACCCTTCAGAGAACCAGTGCCCAGCTTGCGTCGACGTCCTGCACGGTATGGTTCCGGTTTTTAGGCTCACGTTTGTGCCCATACTTTGGCTTATTTGCTGGAGTTGCCTGTGCTATTTGTGGCGGCTGCACGACATCAACTACCTGTACATCTTGGAGATCGACGCTCATACTGAGCTCGGTGTGTGGCGTGCTCTGAAGCTGGGTACGAAGCTACTCGCTTTTTGGCTGCTGGCTGTGTTCTTGTTCCTCTATGGCACACAGACAGGCGTGCCCCCTCTACTCGGAATAGACTCGCGCTACTACCCCCTGGGCTTTACGATCCTGTGCGTTGTCATGGCTGTGTCACCGCGTGGCATGTTTTATTTCAAAACGCGGAAATGGTTGGCCGTGAGCTTATTGCGCGTTGTACAAGCGCCGACGAGAGAGGTGAAGCTGCGAGAAAACCTAGTCGCGGATGTTCTCACCTCCATGGTGAAAGAGGCAGTTGACATGTATTACACTTGGATGTTGTTTTCTACTGGCGATTTCCAGCACGATAAACTTCGGCACTTCCCTGACCAGTTTAGCAGAATCGGACCGATGTTGATCATAATCGCGCCTTATTGGTGTCGCTTGTTCCAGTGTTTGCGGAGATACTGGGATTCGTGCGTGGCTAGCAGGGTCAGCGGCAGTCCTGGCGGCTGCTGGCCCAGCATCGGCTTGCTCGGCATGGGAGACTGCTTGCACCTTATCAATGCCGGGAAGTATTTTTCGTCTATCTGTGCGATCTCGCTATCTGCACTTGGAGGCTTCCGACACATAGTGGGCCCTTATGTGATATGGTCGTCCTTCAGAAAGATATGGCTAGCCCTTCTCGTGATCAGTGCTGTCTACGCCTACGCGTGGGACATTATCCAGGACATGGGGCTGGTGAAGCTGAGGCGCTCTCAGAAGACAGGGCGCCTGCAGCTCTGCAGGCGAAAGACGGGCGCGTTCAGCAGCAGGGGGCTGCTCCTGTGGCTCGCGCTGTCCAACTTTGTCGGGAGGATGGCGTGGGCCGTGACCATTGTGCCCCGGGGGCGCTTCAGCATGGAGGCGGTCGGCATACCCGGCTGCTTCATGGACTCCCTCGTCACGCTCGCCGAGGTCCTCCGCAGAGCGCAGTGGACCCTGCTCCGCGTGGAGCACGAGCACGCGGAGACCAGCCTTGAGGAGGAGGAGGAGGAGGAGGAGGAGGAGGAGGAGGAGGAGGAGGAGGAGGAGGAGGAGGAGGAGGAGGAGGAGGAGGAGGAGGACCCCCTCCCCCTCCAACTTATGGCGGCGGTGGTGGTGGTGGAAAGCAGGCCCGTCAAGGGAGGCCCCGTGCCGAGCCGGGCCAGGTCCAGCCTGGGCCCCAGGACTGGGTGTGCACGCGCCGCCCTGGCCAGGGCCCCCAGGAGGGCGCAAGCCTGCGCGAGGCTCCTGCAGGCCCAGGCGGGGCTCGGCCGGGCTCGGCGCAGGGGCGCACGGGTGCCTTCTCGGCCACGCGCAGAGAGGGGGCAGGGGGAGGGGGAAGGCTTCTTAGAGGCACCCCTGCTCCTCAGAAGCGCAGGCCTGCAGGTGCTGGGCCGGCGCCTTCCGAGGAGCAGCTCTCTCTTTTCGAAGAAGTCCTCCCCCCCCCTACCCCCCTTGTGCGCTGCCGTCAGCCTTCTGCGTCCTCCGAGCAGGCCTTCGGGCCATGGCTCGAGCCTCCGGCGACCCTTCGGGGCGATCTGGGCCCCCCTGGAGAACGCTCTCCTCCAGGCGCAGCTGGTGGAGAGCATCCTGGAGCGGGAATGCTCCCAGGAGCCAGCGGAAACCTCGGAAGACCTCCGAGAGCGAGGCGCCCTCCGCACCGGCGCGTGTGCGCGGTGCCCTCTCCGAGGAGAACCCCAACAACTACCGGTCGATCGTGGAGGTGCCGAGCGCCATCCTGCAGCGGGAGGACGGCGAGGAGGAGACGCACACTGGCGGCGAGGCGTCCGCGGCGATATCCATCGTCGTGGTGCTGGCCATGTTCCTGGTCCTCTCGGTGCTGCTCTACTATCGGAGCTGCCTGCCCGGCCGTCGTTCCGCCGCCGTGCCCGCAGAGGCGCTCCGTTCGGGGGGCAGGCTCAGGGGGAGGGGGGGGGGGCGTCGAGCCTCTCGACCGCCCACTCGCCGCCGATGGGGGCCCGATAGCCCGCCCCGCCCAGGCACGTGCAGGATTCGCCCTTGCAGCCGATCTATCGGCGATGTATCGCCGTTTGTTTGTTTCCTCTCTCCCTCTCTCTCTCTCTCTCTTTGCTTTTTTCTCGCTCTCTCCCTCTCGTTCTCCGCTCTGGAGGGCCGTGCCGGGCCATGTGCCGGCTTTCTCTCCCACATGCCTTGAAAGGGAGTCGTTTTGATGCGCGTGGTTTCACGTCTTCCGGACCCCGCGAGGGAGCGAACGCCCCCACTCGCGCCTGACGCCCGAACATGTCGACGAGCTCAGAGCAGCCAGGCCGTCGTAAAATCGGCCCCGAGCTTTCGAATTCGACAGGTGGCGAGGGGAGGAGAGGGGAGGGAGGCGGGTTCCTCCTCCTCCTCCTCCTCCTCCTCCTCCTCCTCCTTCCTCCTCCTCCTCCTCCTCCTCCTCCACCTCCCCCTCCCCCTCCCCTCCTCCTCCTCCTCCTCCTCCACCTCCCTCCCTCCTCCTCCTCCTCCTCCTCCTCCTCCTCCTCCTCCTCCTCGGGCAGTGTTTTTTTGCGGGGGGGTGGGGGCCTTACTGGCCCCCACGCCTCCGCAGGCGTCGGGGCGGCGAGCGGGGCTCTCGGAAGGAGGCGCGGGGCCTGGCCCAGGGGGGGAGGGGGTAGGAGCGATGCGCGCAAGCGGGCGCGGGCAAGGTGGTGGTCGGGGGCGGCAAAGATCCGAGGCGGGAATTTGACCACCGCCTGGAGGGTCAGTTTTCGGAGCCTCGGCAGGCGGTGGATATGGACAGATTGGGGCCCCCGTGGGCCGAAATATGTCCTTACCCACCGCCCGCTGGGGCACCAGGACGTCGGTTCCCAGGCGGTGGATATGGATAAATCCCCGCCTCGCAAAAGAGGGGGGTGATGACTGGTGACTAGGGGGCGGTGGATCTCATGACGTGGGCCACGATGTTTCCCCGGGTTTTATGGCGCCTCGTCTTATTTCATTGCGTCCTTGGCCCACCCTTCGGCCGCGTACGTGCCGCCGGCCATGATTTGCGCCCCCCTCCCCTCTTGGACGCCCCCCTGTTGGCCGCCCCCGAGGTGGGGAATCTAAGGCGGGAGGTGGTTCCTCGGGGACCTCGGCAGGCGGTGGACATGGACATGTTCGGGCCCCCTGGGGCCAACATAGGATTGCAGTCGACCCGCACAGTAAGGATGAACAACTTTCCAAGGCTACCCTTGCATCCTTGTCCCTTCGGCCCATCCTTGGTACTTTCGCTGGCCAGCCCAGTTCGAAAAACACCAACATATGCCAACATGGCCTTCAAGGCCCTTGTATCCTTACCGCAACTCCTTATTCTGCGGCTCGACTGTATCCATATCGGCCACCCGCTGGGGTCCCAGGGGTTCCCCAGGCGGTGGATATGGATGAATCACCCCCGCGCAGGGGGGGCCCTCAGGAAAAGATAAAGACCCCCCTTGCCAGGGCCCACTTCGATTCCTCCGGCCTGATTTGATGTTGACTTCGATTTCGATTCCCATTCGACTCGACATCGGGTTCCGAGCTGGATTTCGGTGTCTCAATGGAGACCTCACCGGCCTGCCGATCTCCGCCGGGTCCGACTTCTCCCGACCCGGCCGATCCGATTCGCTTCGATCGCCGATCCGACTCGTCGGTTCTGGGCCCTCCTGCCCAGCGATCGAGCACTGCGCCACGGCGCCGTGCTCCTCGTGCCACGCCCCCCGGCGCGCAAGGGGGCGCGGAGGCGGATTCGGGCGTGCGGGTGCCAGGCCACGGCAGGTCGCCTCGCCCCGAGATATGGCACAGGCATTGAGCTCGCGCCCGCTCCCCGTCCTCGGCGTAGGGCTGTCCGGATGCAGCGTGGGGCACGAGGAGGAGGCGGGGGAGGATGCACGCGGAGGAGGAGGAGGAGGAGGAGGAGGAGGAGGAGGAGGAGGAGGAGCGGAGCGGAGCGGAGCGGAGCGGAGCGGAGCGGAGCGGAGCGGAGCGGAGCGGAGCGGAGGCGCCGGTTCCGGGCACCAGGGGTGCCCGTGCCCTTTGGGCAAGGCGCAAGAGGCCGTAGCCTCAGACCGTGTGGGCGCAGAAGCTCTGGATGGCGAATAGTTCACGAAGCGGAACAAATAGAGCGTGTGGTCGAAATGGGACATCAACCGGCACAAATAGAAGATGTGGGCGAAGTAGTAAACGAGCCGGCGCAAATAGAAGACAAGGAAGACGGAGTTCAGGATTGTGTTTGTGGTCGGTGTTGCTTGTTCGTGGTCACTGCTGGTGGTCGGTTCCTGTGTTCTGGTCAGTGTTGTTGGTCGGTGCCACGTGCTGGTGTTCAGTGTGGGTCCATGGTGGTCGATGCTGGTGTTCGGTGGTGGTCGGTGGCGTTTGGTGCTGGTGGCGCTGCTGGTCGTTGGTTGGTGTCGGTGGTCGGAGTTGAGTCGGTGCTGTCGGTGTTTGCTGCTGCTGTTGATTTGGTCGATGCTTGTACTGGCGTTGCTGGTGCCGCTGTTTGGTTTCGTTACTGCTGTTGTTGGACGGTTAGCGCAGTCAACTGGCGTATGCCAGGAAATTGCTTCATGTGCGTCCCACCGCGTCGGTTCCGTTGCGGCTGTCAACCATCTTACGTCGTTGCTGTCGTAGTGGATATATTGCCGTGGGCGAGTGGCTCCGTTGGTGTTGCCTTTTGCGGCTGCGTCGTTGGTGGTCTGATGCGAACTTTGGAGAAATTTTCGAATGTCGTCATCCTACCGCTTTTGTTGGCCACCATGTTGCCGATGGCCCTGCTGTCTCTTGTCGAGAGAAGGATTCCAGTTCAGTGCTCGTTGTGCCCATCGGTTCGGTGGGTGGTGTGCTACTCGTGCGGCCCAGCGCCAGACCTTTTTCCTGTGTATTTGCTCCACGTCAGGGATGTCTTGCATGCTCATTAGCTCCTCGGCTCCTACGGCGGATGAAATCGGACCACAGCTCGCTGTCGTTCGTCGTCTGCGCGCGGGCATGGTGATGATCGTCGCTAGTGTCTTCACGCGGAAGAGGCGGGTTGCTGGATGCGTCGTGGTCGCTGGAGTCGTTGAGGTCGTCGCTGTTGGGGTTGTGGTCGTTATGGTTGCCCGTGGGCGGGGTAGGGTGTGTTGACGTGAGAGTGTTCGTGCGCCTTCTCGGTGTTCCGATGATCGCTCTGACCATTCGTCGTTGTGTGCGGCGTAACTGTTGTCTGAGAGGCTCTGTTAAGGTTCACGTCTCTGCGCCGCACGTCAAGGTGGGTATTACGGTGCCACGGTAGAGTCGCAGCCTGTGTTTGAGTGGGTAATGTTTGCTCGTAAGCTCTTGTCTGTGTCCTGTGAAGCATGCCCACGCAGCCTGTATGCGATGTTGGATGTCTGTAGCCGAAGCGTCCTGGAACGTGATCGTTTGGCCGAGGTACGTCAGCTTGCCGGTGCACGGGACAACTTCGATGCCAATGTTTGCAAACGTGGCCTTGCGCGATCGAGTCCTTTCGTCTTGGTCGGATGTATTTCGAGGCCGTGGGGTTTTGCTGCTGTGATTAAGTCGGTGATTAGCGTCTTCAGATTGGAAAGTGTCTGGCTCATCAGGAGGATGTCGTCGGCGAAGCGGAGGTACGTGAGAATAGATTCGCCGATGTGTGCCAGTTGGACTCCTCGTCGTCGTCGCTGCCATTCCAGGATGAGTGGCGCTAGGAGGAGGAGGAGGAGGAGGAGGAGGAGGAGGAGGAGGAGGAGGAGGAGGAGGAGGAGGGGGAGGGGAGGAGGGGGGGGAGGGTGAGGAGGAGGAGGAGGAGGAGAGGAGGAAGGAGGAGGAGGAGGAGGAGGAGGAGGAGGAGGAGGAGGAGGAGGAGGAGGAGGAAGAGGAGGAGGAGGAGGAGGGAGTCAAGGCCAGACAGCCCTGCAACCTGAAGGGCCAAAAGGCGGGGGACAGCGAGACCAAGCGAAGCAGCAGCGGCGGCGGCGGCAGGGCGGCAGGCCGCCGAGGCCTGGCCGCCAAGGGCGCGCGCGCGCCACGTCCTCGAAGCCGAGCGAGGGCCGGCGCGCCTGCGCGCGTCTGGGACCCGTCGCGGCGCGGATCCTGGCCCGGCACCTTCCAGGAAGGGACCCTCGCCGGAGTCGGGACCTCCAGGTTCTCAGCCTCGGGGCCGCGGGTCCCTGGCACGGGCCATCCGGGCCCTCTCCCCGTCGTGCCTGCCGACGCATGGTCGCACCGCAGGATCTGCAGAGGAGCACCGCGTCACCCGGGTGAACCTCGGGGCCTCCCTCGAGGCCAAGGAGCTTCGCCTGCACAACGCTGCGCCCGCTGAACTACCAAGGGGTTCCCGAGGCCAGAGCAACACACTCGGGCCGCGCAGGCAGGCAAACTGACGCCCTCTACACCCTCAAAAGGCCTCCGCCCGGGCCATCCCAGTCCTCAGGATCCAACTCCTGGGTGACCTCCGAATTGGCAACCGCGCCCTGGGAGTCCACAGACCCCGAGTCCGAAAAAACTTGCTGGGCTTTAGCATGCCATCAGGTGGCTGCAGCAGCCATATGTTCAAGACCCTGAATGAACAAGACTTGCTGCGGCGGGGTCTGCCGAAGCTTGGCCCCCAACTTGGTATACTTCTTAGCCGCTGCATGGCCACGAATCATCCAGGTCTGATGGTCCGAACGCGAGTTGGCTTCAGACTGGTGACTTTTCACCTTAGACACAGCAGCACGATGCCTGACCCCACCCTCCCCCCACCACTGACACCAGAAATGCTGTTTGGGCTGCACCACTGACGGCGCCGCCCCTGGGTCCCGCGCACACGAGACAGAGGCAGCACAGACGGATTAGACATGCAGAGGGTTGTCTGGGTCCCACTCGCAGTGGGCAGCAAGGACGGAGAAGGCCACGTCCTCTCCGTCTCCTGCCTGGTTGCAACGGCGCGAGGCGCAGAGGTACAATCCCATAGCCAGCTCCGATGATCGCGCTTGCTGGGTCTACCTGGACGATCGAGATACTTGCTCGACTGAGGCCTGACAGCGAGGTACGGTAGGCCGAGCCATCAAGACATCTGCCAAACAGCTCACCATGGACCTCGCTTCTGGCGTGGACCTTGTCAGCGGCTTCCTGAGGAAGCAGGGCGGTCCTCCCTGCGCACATGCTCGATACAGGTGCACTCATAGAACCTGTGGTGCAGGGTCCCCCTCTCCTCGCACTATCATCTGGAATGTTCTCGTGCGCGTGCAGCTGTCCTGAGTCCAAAAGGAGCTCCCGACTAGACTCCTAAACGTGGCTTTGTGATGCAGGCTTCAGGTTTCGTTGGTCGCTTTGTTGAGTAGCCGCTCGAGGGGACTCGAGTGCAATTGGCTGACCCACGCACCTTTCACACGGCTGATACTCAAGATGCCTGAGGCAGTTGACGCAGCTTCTCGCACGAGGTCGCACAGAAATTTAGCACTGACATCTAGCGCCCAGTACAATTGCCCAACCTTGCAAAGCATGAACGCCGAACTCATCGAGATTCCGATCCTGGCAAGCGCCAGCACCAACGCCTTCGTGGGGTCTACACACTGACACACTGGGCTCATGGCCTCGGCTTCGCGAGCAACTCCCGACCTGCTTTCCAGATTGCTTAGATTGCCTGCACTGGGCCGTGCCCTGGCAGGTCCGAGACAGCTGCCAGGACCCGTTGCTTCACGACTTCGACAGAGGGAACTATGCCAGAGAATCGCGGCAGGCTCCTCGCTGCGAAGCCCGCAGTCGCAGCCCTGCCGAAGCCCCTTTGGGCAGACGCCCCTCAGCTCGAGCGGCGGCGGCTCTGAGCGCGCGCAGCTGCCCGTCGGCGATGCCCGCGACCGCCGAACCCCAAAACCGCAGCGGCCGTCGGAGGCCCCCTCACGATGGCGCTGACCTGAGCTCCAGCTTCGCGCAATTTCAGCATTTTAGCTTTGACGCGCTCCGCCTTCTGACGCACCTTGGCCTGCTCTGAAATTCTCTTGGCACGGCCGCCGTTGGCGTCCGTGCCTGGAAACCCAGCGTGCGCAGATCCGTCGGCTTCAGTCAGGGTCCAGCGTTCATTCAGGCTGGACACAAGCGCGCTCGAGCTGGCTAGGTCGCCGGTCCTGTCCCAGTTGACGCGAAGCGGCTTAGATCAGCTCGTGGACCAGCAGTCTTCTGAAAAGCCAGAGCTACATTGCACCCTGCAGTGATTGTCCCCTTGGCCTGAACAATCCCCGGCACGGCCGACGTCCCAGATCGCCCGTCTTGGCCGAAGGTGCGTCGCACGCTGGCACTGCAGCAGCCTGGGGGGACTCCGTCTTGACAGCCTCGGCGCACAACTCCTGATGTGAGATGTACTCGTAATGCTTGGAATGGTCAGCACCCGGAAGTCTGGGAAAACGTTACACGAAATTGCGCACATAGTCCGACCTGTCACACGTGAGCCCAGTGTCTCCCCAGAACGCTTCATTGCTGAGGCCTTCCTCCCAGCGCCTCGCAACCGCTTGCCTGAGCATCGACCACACGCGACACCACAACGAGTGGAGAAAGAGTGGCCTGATTCCGCCTGTGGGACTGGGCTTGCCGAGAAAAAACATTAGAAGCATCCACATGCTGCACTCCTGCGGCTGCTTTTCCCATACATGCAACATGTCTAGAAAAGCTTGCTCGCGGCCTGCCGGCAGCCGCGCCATTTGCCTCCGGCGCATCTTGTCCCACCCAAGTCCAGCCGAGACGCTGTAGCTAGCAAGCGCAGCGTCCAGGGCATCGTGCGTCGGCGGCAGCGGTGCCAGCGGATCAATCACCTGCCTGCCGTCCTGACCACCAGAGAGCGCCTCGACGTAAGGTGCGTGCTGCTCAACAAGCTCTTGGAGATCTCAGTCCTCGGGGTGCTCCTCAGAGTCCATGCTAGGTTGGACCCACAGGGGCTCCCACTGCTGAAGGATAACCTCTAGAGCCTGAGACCCCGCCACAGGAAGTTTGGTGACACTGCCCTCCCCTGAAGCAAACGCTTGGGATTTCTGGACCGTATCCCTGACAAGCCCGAAAGCCGCTGAGCCTCCTTTTTGACTGGCCGCCTGCTGTGCGCAAGCCCTCCAGGCTTGAGCTGACTCATCACGCACTTCCCTCTGCAAGCCCTCCAGGTGCTCTTTCATGGCTCCCAGGAGGCAGTTGACATTGAATACTCGGATCCTGTCCCGAGGAGAGAAGATCACACAGCTGCTTCCTGGACAGGTTAGCCCAGGGCAGAAGCGGCCCAGCATCAGGCCGTTCTCCAACTTCGATCCTACTGAAAGTGACCTGCCTCCCGAGCGCAGCGAGATAGGGCTCTCCTCGATCTCTGGCAGCCGACCCGAAGGCGCACGGGCGAAATGCCGCCGCGTAGAACCTCGCCCACCTGCGATGCTCAACAGGAGCGTGCTGCTTGAGAGATCTCTCCCAAGCCCCGGTGAAAAGCTCGGTGCCTGCTTTGAAACCAATTTGCTCTGCCTCGCCGCAGCTTGCGACTCCGGTCGCCCAGGTCGTGACGCCCGGCGAGGTAGGCTCCCACTCTGTCGAACCAACGAGCACACGCCCCGCCGAGGCCTCTCTTGAGCGCCGCCCCGACGCCCCACGGCCAGGAGTCCAACGGGGCTCCCCGCGGCGCCGCTCTCCCTGGAGGCGGCCCCTCCATCGGGAACTCGAGGGGGAAGTCGGGCCCGGTGATCCCGGCAGCCCTCCCAAGCCCTCGACGCACCGCGCGAGAGGCGGAGTGCACCTGGGTGGGGCTCTCGATGGCGCATCGACACTGGCCGCAGAGGATGCGCGCAGCCCACTACTGCTGCAACAGTCTATCTCCCTGGCTCCGCAGGTGGGCCTCCCCGTCTGCAGGACGTTCCAGTCCCGTAGCGCAAACCAAGGCCCATCGAGACTAGCAGGTCAATGTCACCCTTGAAACCCACCGAGGTGATCAGGCACAGGGAGACTACATGCAGGGGCCTCGCCAGCCCCACATTGCACCGTCAGGAGAGGCTGGCGTCCTAGACGGTGCTGCCAGGCAAGGAACAGGGCACTCCCTCGGCGGCTCCTCGACGCACGCTTCTGGAAATACCATTGGAAATAGCCGCCCACTGCTGGCGCCGGACTGCGACGCCAAGAGCACCGGCAGCCCTTCCTCTGCCAGCGCAGCGCCTCCACCACCGCCGGCTCTCGAGCGCCCCGGGCTGCTGGTGCCTCGAAGAGGGGCTGGCTTCTTGGGCGGTGCTGCCTGGCAGGTGGTAGGCAAGTCCTCTGACCTCCTCCTCCGCGCTCTCGTCGGACACTGCCTCTGGACATGGCCGCCCACTGCCGAGGCCGCCCACTTTGCCACCGACATTCACGGCGCCAAGAGGGGTTCTCGCTGCCCTCTCCCACCAGCATTGCGCCTGCACCGCCAGCTCCAGAGCGCCCCAGGCTGGTGGTGGCTCTGAGAGGGGCAGGCGTCTTAGGCGGTGCTGCCTGGTGGGGGGCAGGGCACTCCCCTAGCAGCCCCTAGAAGTACTCCTGTGGAAATATCTTTGGAAATCACAGCTCACCATGCGACTTGCCACTGTCTGCTCTAACTGCCGCCTGGCTACCCTCGTCTGAGTCGCTTGGCCAGCGAGCCCAGGCTCTCGAGCAGCCTCTTGTACTTGTCTGGGTCAGAAACGTCGCGCCCCGCCTTGGTAAAGGCCTTGCTGGCCTCTTCGTCACTTGGATCGAGCTCATCGTATTCTGGGACTGGGACTGCAGCTGCATCGGGGCCAGGTGCGCAAGTACTAGGTGGAGCAGCATCAGCGCCGCCACTGGCAGGCGAGTCCGTTGCCATGGGCGCTGGTATCTTGAGCTCGAACTCCTTAGTCTTGTCGGCAGCCTGCCACCTGCGTCGATGCCGAACCTGCCGGCGTCACTACGCAAGCATGTATCCATGATCCCGAGCAGTGCAATCGCATGCTCGGGATCCACTGCTGCACCTTCAGCGGGCGCCTCCGGGAGGACGACGGCGGCCTGCGCCCTTTTGATGTGTTCTTCGATCTCCACCACCTGCTCTTAGTACTTAAACAGTTTATTGTTCTCCTCATCCAAACTCTCACGCGCCTGCTGCAAAGCCACTCTGGCGGCCTCCATCCGTTGCAACGATCACTCGTCTTCCTCTGCTTGCGCTGCAAGAGGTCCTTGAGGCCTTCTTCGACAGCTCCAGAGGCCGCACCTCCTCCGTCTTCGTGAGAGCGGCCTCGAGATCGATGGAGAGCGGCGTGTTTTTTCCCCGCCCCCTTCGCCTGCAGCAGCTCCACCAGCCTTCTCTGCTGAGAGAGGGAGAGAGGGAGAGAGCGAGAGGGAGAGAGCGAGAGAGAGAGGGGGAGAGAGAGAGAGAGAGGGAGCCAGGGAGAGAGGGAGGCGGGTCGACCCCCTTGTCACCAGACTGAGGCGGGCCGTTGGGCCAGCGGCTGACTGGTGGCTGCTGCGTCTCCGTTCGCTGCTGCCCCTCTCCCGTCGTTCCTGTCTGCTGCGTCCGCAGCCTCGACGGGGGGGCGCCCTGGTGCCACATTCACTAGGGGAACGAACAGCGAAGATTCAGAAATAGTCCAAAAATACTCGTGGGACGATGTTTTGATTACTTTTGAGCACTATTTTTGAGCATTCTGGGGCATTTTTTGTATTTTGTAATTTTTCATCGAAAATCCGCCTGTAGGGGGGCATGCCCGACTTACGCCTGCGCCAGGAGGGCGGGTACACCTAGGGGAACGAAGAAGGGCATAAGCATAAAAACTCGGAGGTCCGCGCGGATTTCTCGGATCGGCGCTGGAGACCCCTGGCGGCGCCTCCGGCGCCGCCCCTGGCGCGCTCCGCGCGCCAGGGAGGAGCGTCCAACGCCGATCCGAGAAATCCGCGCGGACCTCCGAGCTTTTATGTTTCTGTTATTGTTTGTTTCCCTATTCGCGGCACGACGACCTGAAGTGGAAGTTGGGAATCCGCACCGACGGCATGCCCACGCTTTTTTTCCTGTGTCTGCCACGGCGCTGCGTCCTGTGTCGTGTGGGGTTTGGCTCTGGCCAGCTGCGCCGCTTCCAAGTACGCTGACCAAGAGAGCTCGCTCAAAGTTCGAAACCTGGAAATGGCTGTGCACGAGGAGGAGGAGAAAGAGGAGGAGGAAGAGGAGGAGGAGGAGGAGGAGGAGGAGGAGGAGGAGGAGGAGGAGGAGCAGGTGATGGAAGGAGGAGTAAGGACGAGGACGAGGGACGAGGCGGAACTGAGGAGGAGGAGGAGGAGGAGGAGGAGGAGAGAGAGGAGGAGGAGGAGAGGAGGAGTAGGAGGAGGAGAGGAGGAGGAGGAGGAGGAGGAGGAGAAGGAGGACCAGAGGAGGAGAGACGAGGAGAGCGGGGGAGAGAGGAGGGAAAAGGGAGGAGGGAGACCAGGTTAGAGACGCAGCGCCTGTCGGCCACAGGTCGAGGTAGATGCGCGACGTTTTTGGAGAAGCCGGGAGCAGAAGTGGGGCGCCTACAGTGGTGCGATCCCCTGGCTCAACCGTCCTCGCGGTTTTCACCCAGGCCACGCCCTGCACAGGGGGGGGTGGTTCTGTACTGAGCGCGGGCGCTGGGCGAAGAGATATTCGGTGATCTCTACTTGGCAGGTCCTGCTCCAGTGTTTTTTTGTTTTCGGAGGCGTCCTCAAGGGTGGCACACAGATGCTACTTGCATTGCGACCAGCGGATCTTTAAATTCGGCACGCTCGTGGCTAACTGGCGAAACAGGCGGGAGGAGGAAGAGGAGGAGGAGGAGGGGGAGGAGGAGGAGGATGAGGAGGAGGAGGAGGAGGAGGAGGAGGAGGAGGAGACTCTTCTCTTTTTCCGCACTGTTCCTGCTTCCCCGCCCTCCCTCTTCCTCCTCCCGCTTTCCCAGTGGGTGTTGCGGGGGGGGGCGTCCGAGAGCCCGTGCGCCAGGGCGGGGGGAGAGGGATGCGCTGCGAGGATGGGGACACCAGCAGCCAGAAGGGAGCAGCGGCCCAGGAGCGGGGAGGGGGGGAGCCGGCCTGGGGCCAGGGGCGCCGCCTTTCTTTCTCGCCTTCTTGTTCTTCCACCACCTGCTCCCCGTGCTCCCGCTCCCGGTCCTCCTCCTGGTCGTCGTTTTGTCCTTCTTCCTCACCTCGTCCTCCATGTCCGCGTCTGCTCCTCCGCGTTCTGTGGGGTGGCCGCAGCAGGGGATGAGGAGGAGGAGGAGGAGAAGGAGGAGGAGGAAACGATCGAGGACGGATGGAGGAGGTTCGAGGAGCCACAATCGAGGAATGAGGCGGCGCGTTCTGAACGGTGCCCCGTTCAGCGGTGCAGACGCGGCCCACAGTCAACCGTGCAGCGGCAGAGAGCTGCCAACTTCTGCCCACCCTGGGCAGTCCCGGTTTTGGGCGAGGGGCCGATCCTGCACTCCACCAGGTACGCCAGCGCCGGGCCCAGAGACAGGAACAGCCGATTCTCCATGGTTCGGGCCCCCGTGCGACGCGAGCGCGGAGCGCGGCGGCGCGGGGGGCCCGGGCGAGGCGAGCGGGGAGCGGCGGGGGCGACGGGGGGCCGCCTCCGATGCAGCGCTGGGCATGGGCCCCGCCGGCCACCTGCGCCGCCCAGGCGCCGCGGGCGTGCCCCGTGGGAGGCCGCCCGGGCGCCGCGGGCGTGCCCTGTGGGAGGCCGCCGCGTCAGTGGTCTGTGGCCGGCATCGCCCCAGCATTTGTTGCGTCGGCGGCCAGGCCGAGGGTGACTGCACTGCCCTGGCGATGAGAGGCTTACACGGGGATAGCGTTGGAGGAGGAAGGAAGAGAAGGAGGAACGGAAGGAAGGCAGGAAGGAAAAGGAGGGGGAGGAGGAGGAGGAGGAGGAGGAGGAGGAGGAGGAGGAGGAGGGGGAGGAGGAGTCCGTAGCCACTTTGGCTCAAGTCCGTAGCGGTGGCTCCGGGACGAGAGTTTTTTGGCGAGGGGGGATCCGACGGCCCCCAACAGCTTTGTTGGTACTGTACTGCGGCCTGCCGCCTAAAGCTGCCTGTACCACGCAGAGATGGCGTCTCGTTTCGCTCCTCTCGCTGGCACTTGGAAATGCACGGCTTGCGGATGCGCCCGCAATAAGTGGCACTGGAGCTGGTGCAACCACTGCGAGACCCCATGGAAGGACAGTACGCTCATGCCAAAAGAATGGCCTCCTCTTCCAGAGTGGCCGAAGCGCAGTGGTGGTGGTTCAGGCACACGCGAGGGAGGCTGGCAGTCGTTGGACGTTGCGTTTGGGAGACACGATGTGGCAGCCAACTCACCCTTCGCTGACCTCACAGGGGACCAAGGATTCACCATCGCTGATCTCGAAAAGTTCATTGTCCCACACAGAAAGTCGGGAAACGAAGAGCAGGCTATCAAGTACGAAAAGGAGCTGGCAGCAAAGAGGGAAGCATCGTCACCACCACAGCTGTCAGCACAAGCTGAAGCGGGCAAAGCACACAAGCAAGTTCAACATATCGAGCGCCAGCTGCAGGAACAGGTCACAGCCTTCGACAAGGTTCAACAACAGCTCGATGATCATGTGTGCCATATCGAAAAATTACAACAAGAACCCGACGACCAAGACAAGTAATACAAGCAAGCGATTGAGGAATTCCACTTGGGTGTCAAAGATCCCGAGTCTCCGAAGACCTTACCGACTGTATCGATCACAGATGTGTTGGCAGGCAAGTGGGAGTTCGCGGAAATCTCAGAAGAGTGTTTGGGCTCTTAGATTTCGTCGACATCTCAGACAAATAAAAAGAAGAAGCTCAAGCAAAAACCACCCAGCTCAAAAACATGCTCCAGGGGGCAACGACGAAGCTCTTTGGAACGGTTAACGGGCGGACACATTACGTGCTGAACATGAAGAACAACAGAAGCGGATGGAGAGTAAAAAGCGCAAGACAGATGAAGGAGCTAACGGAGGAGGTGGAGGAGACGGACAAGGATCGGGACAGGGAGCAGCAGCATCATCAGCGGCACCTCCGTCCCGAGCTACAGCGACCGCGGGGACAGCGGCATCCTCGGGGCCAGGTGCAGGCGATGGGAAGGACAGGCAGCAGGACGCCCCAGATCTCAGGTCCAAAGTCCAGAGCATCCTCAGCAAAGCCGACCCCACCAAGCAGCCTCACCCTTTTGACAGGGGAGGCGGGAAGGGGGCCACGCAGTGTTCCTGATAAAAGGCGTCCTAAGAAGGCACCCCATGAAGAACCCCATCCAGAAGCTCCAGATTGTCCAAAAGGAAAGAGTACAGGGTTGGAAGTCGTCACTGTCAACGGACCCTCGTGGATGTCCGTGGAGGCTGTGCCGCCGCTTCTGTCTGCGTCAATTATCCTGGTTCAAGAGCGCAGATTGTTGCCGAAACTTGTTTTTGCATCTTATATCATCTCTCTATCGCCGAGGATGGCAAGTGTTTGGAGATCCTGCGGGAAAGACTGAGCAGGGCAGAGCGCCAGCAGGAGTGCTGATCATGTTCAAGAGCTACCTGACAGCCTGGGCACCGGATGAAGGGGTTTTCCCAGGAGCAGTTGCCAGGGCTGTTAGGTGCTGCGCACGTACGCGCGAGCTCAGGATGTTCATGATAGGTACTTGCTACATGTTCGTGGGAGAAGATCTCACGCCTCGCAACTTGAAGATTGTGCGTCTCCCCGGTGAACAGGCGCTCATCCACAGAGCCCCGTGCATCATAGGAGGCGACTGGAACAATTCCCCGTCGGCGTTAGACTCGGTGTTGCCTTGGCACAGTCTTGCAGGCATAATTAGAGGCGACCCTGATACTCCATCTTATGTGTTGGACAGCAGCGAATCCAACATAGACTACTTCCCGGTAGAAAAGCGCCACGAGAGGATGATTTACGATGTATGTTTTCTGGCTAATGTACAAGCGGATCCACATCGCCCTGTCCGTCTTCGTTTCGAGCTGTCTTTTGGGATGGAGGCGCCGCGTGCACCGAAGTTCGAACAACCGCCAGGGGCGCGCGCGATTGGGCCGATGTCCGAACAAGATCTAGAACAAAGAAAGTACTTTCACCTTAATGGCAAGTTAGACAACCGGTTATTCTCCCTTGGCGCTGGCCCGACAAAGCAGCAGCGCGCTCTTTTGAGTGGGGGCCGAGAGAAGGCCAGCAAAGTTATCGATGAGGTGTATGATGATTGGAACCAACTCGCGCGGCAAGATGTGTTGATGCTCACGGGATATGATGCGCCTGGTCCAGCAGGCAGCGCAGGGCCTGTGTCGAAATGGAACCTCTCAGAACAGTCCTCCTCGCGCGCTCGTACCACGAGCTCGATCCGCAGCGTGCGCTCTCATGGGCTATGCTCAGACTTGACGAGATTAAGACCCTCTAACTCGACGGCAAGACCAACAAGTACTGGCGCAAGTTAGTGAAAGACCTCGCGAAGTTACCCGGGCGCTGGGAAGAAGGAGCAACCTTTTGGAACTCTCTCTTAAGCAGCGTGGGCTGTCTTATCAGATGTGAACATGACTTTGGGATTGTATGGTTGAAGGAAGCACTGACTTATGCACGACACATTCATGGTCGCATTCTCCTGCCAACGTCGAAGATCAGATCGCGGCTTTGGAGAGAATGGCGCGACGAGGCCATGTGCCACGGTGTTAAAGCTGCCCGTGGATATCTGAAGGACGAGCCCATGCCGTTGAAGCCGCGCCTCACAGGACCTGCAGATGATGCCCTCGCAGTCCTCTCTCTGAAAGCCAGGGTTCAAGCAGAAAGAGATAAGTTTTCTAAAGCTTGGCAGCGCGGGGAATCCCCTAGCAACGACGCCTGGGGGCATCCGCCAGCCCCTGTCATGCCTCTGCCCAAAGCCGATGACATCAGGTGCCAGGGCGCAAGATTCAAGTTGCAGACGTGCCAGCCAAGTGGATGGACACTACTCTTTCCTGGGCGATGCTGCACTTGTGGTTTCCGGTAAAGTTCTGATGCTTACGGGAATGACAGGATCGGCCCCGACATCTATCAAGAGGCTCATGGTACAGCTCACACACAAGCCAGCAGGTGGTAGACGTCCGCTTGGGTCCTATCCAGCTCCGATGCGCATTAGTGGTAGATGTGGCAAGCACCATCTGGGACAATGGGGAGCTAAACATGGCCTTGGCCAAGCATGCCCCATTGGGCAGCACCGCGGGCCTTGTGACACTGTTTGGCGCCAGGCAGCACTGGCCGAAGGTAGTGCGAATACGAGCCAATTTTACATTCCAGCGATTTGGGACTTGCTGCAGTTCTACGAGCACGTGCCGTGGGGCCTCACCAGGTGCAACTCAGTCCTGGGAGTTTCCAGTGGAAGCGCTGCAGCTTTCTATGTCCACACATGCATGGGGGAACTTTTTGGAATATGATCAGATTCTCATGGATCCTCTCTTCCCTGGTCGCGGGATTGTAGCAGGAAGCTCAGGGGCCACATGCGAGGCCAAGCTTTCCCTCGCGCCTGTTATCGAAGATGAGATTGCGAGAAGGCCGCGTGTCAGATCTATGCGTTCACTCCACATGGGTGATCTTCCTCAACCTCAGTGGGGGCCTGTCATGATTGACGTTCTGAAAGACATGCAACAACATGCACATCGTGTCGGACATCGCCTTCAAAAAGAACTCGGGCTACCGCTCGCTATGCGCAAGTTGAATATGGTGACGCCTTGCGGCGAGATGATGATGCTGGCAACGAGCGCGCCCGGCCGCATGGGTGGCCCTGGAGGATACGCAGCCAGAAACCTCGGCATCG